AATATAGCATTAGTCTTAGGACAAAGTCAATCAGTCATATGGCAGTCCAGTGATGCCAATCTTGTAGCTGAAATGATGATCATCTTTGCAGCATCTGTAGTGATCAGCAGGAAAAGTGTAACCAAGTTCATTGTTGTACAGTTTTCAGTCATGTGGAAAAACTCTTCCCAAAGTGGTTGGAGTTTCTCTGCACAGGTTCCTATCAAAATCTACTGAATCAAAAGACAATCACTAGTTATTAGTCCCAGGAAGCCAGGATTCTATTAGCACTCACCACACATCTATTACTATTTCCACTCAGGTTCCATGTTGTTGTTATCGAGCATTTTCTGTTCTGTTGCTATAGCTCTCAATTATGTCCACCAGCAGGAAAATAAGTTCCTCCTTCCACTCCTGGGATATGCAAACTTTCTCCCCTTTGGATAGACTAGGTGAGATGCGCAGCTTCCCTTGTTTGAATGACCTGTGGTCAGACAGGTGACGAAGCAGCTGTTAAAAAAACTTTTTAAAAAGTCATAAATGCCATTACTGATTTGGGCTGTTTCCAGTCTTGGAATCTGATAAGACACCTGGCCTTTTGCCATAGGTGCCAGAGAAGTGAAAGGCACAGTGAGTGCAAGCCACAGCACCAGAACCCGAAGTGTCCAGCTTCATTTTGCCATGATTGCACATACTCCTATGATCTTGTTGATAAAATACCTTTAAATGATTCAATGTCAAAGTCCAGACAGATTAATTCACAATATTAAGTTTGGGGGGGGGGGGAATCCAAACATAGTTGAACATAACTAGCCAAGGTTGGCTCTTGAATCTTGATAGGTGTAAGTATATAGTCATGATGGCGAACCTATGCCATGCATGCCGGAAGTGGCACGCAGAGCCATTTCCCCCGGCACACGAGAGCTCGCCTGGAAGAGCCCCACTGCACATGTGCGCACGCCGCCTGACAGCTGATTGTCAGGTATCTGGCACGCATGCGCGGGGGATGGGGTGTGTGTGGGAGATACATGCGCATGCACAGAGATGCACAGCATGCACTGGGGAGTCATGCATGCATGCACAGAGACACGCAGTGCACAGAGGGATCATGCGCACATGTGCAAATGGATGGTGCATGAGGGGGATTGCGCACACATGCGCAGGTGCATGGTGCATGTGGAGGGTGATCGCAGGCGCATGGCAAGGGGAATTGTGCACACAGGCGTGCAGCAAGGGGAAATGCATGCTCAAGCACAGGGGGTGTGTGGGGCCCCAGCACGCATTGACTTCTGGGTGCTGGCACGTGAGCGCATGAGCGCATGTGCAATTATCGGCACGGGAGCCGAAAAAGGTTTGCCACCACTGGTATATAATCATGCAATGTAAGAAAAAGCTGCTAGGCAGAATTGTCCTCTCTTCTTAGAGCGATTAGGAGAGATTAGCACTTCAGCATAACTATCAAATATGCTCCCATACAATGATAGGACTATATGCAATCACTTAATAGACAAAAGCAAGAATGGGACCCACCATTACTTAATATTTAAAATATTAAATATTAAGCAAAAACATTTAATACTTTCCAAATTATTTTTTTTCAAAATTTTTTTTTATTTCAATCTACATATAACAACAATACATTAACAGTGTGGCATCAATATATCATACATCTCTCATTGCATTATATTCATATTAATTCATACTTCTTCAATATTTATTTTCAACCTTACTCTCTCCAAATGCCTACCACCGTATCAATTAAACATACCTAATAAATTCAATTTTCTCCCTGTTTTTATTTTATTTTTTTTAAATGAAAAATTCTCATTTGGCAAGCAGTGTGGTTCCAGGTTTCACATCTCAATACAAACATGACCATTGTTACCTATTCATCTTATTAGTTTAATTTCATATTGCATCATCCTTGTCATTATTAAATATTAAGCTTATCTTATCCAATCCTAATTCATGTTCTCATATCTTATTTTACAATATTATCTAAAATTCTCATCAATTCTATGTTCATTTATTCAATTCCAAGTCGTAATATATCTCCTTCCATTTTTCTTAGTATATTCTCATATCTTATTTTACAATGTTATCTAAAATTCTCATCTCCTTTCTATTATCATTTCTCATATTATTATTTTTTTCCTGTCACATTTGTCATTTTATCAATCCTTATCTGTAAATATAATTGTCCCCTCTAGTTAATAATTCGAGCTAACCACCTTCATTCTTCCTTAATATTAAGCTCCCTATCTAGTATAAAACACAAATATATGTTGTGACTGGAAGGATCGATCCTGCTGGGAGTTTTGACTCTGATGACTCTGAAGATGGAAGGCTGGAGCCTGCTGTGAATGTGGAGTCTGAATTATTAGAGGACACAGATGTGAGCCAGGAGGATGAGAGATTGTCGCAGAGACAATCCTCCCCAGAACCTTCGACTTCGCTCATGCCAGCAACTGATCCACAAAATGAGTCAGAGGCTTCGAGTGGGGAAACTGACAGATCGTGGCTTGACGCTAGAACTAGGAGAAGACTGAAACGTCAATCTGAAGGGAGGCGTCAAGCCAGACATTGATTAGAGAGACTGACACGCCCATCCAGGTGATTTAAGGAAGCGTGCTGATTCTCAAACTTTGTGCTTGGAAGCAAAGTGTTTGATGTGTCGAAAGGATACGTGTGGAGCGGCCTTTGTAATTTATGGACATTCTGAATTACCAGACAGATTCCCGGAAGTCTGCCAAGGACTGGAATATAGTACTGTTAACCCTTTTTTAGTCTGGTTTTGTTTTGTTTGAATATTTTGAACTGTGGAACTCTGTATTCTCACTTGTGAATATAGGTGAGACATAGCATTTTTGCTTCCAAGCCTAACAAACCATCTTCAAAACAAGATGGAC